CGCTACTAATACGTAGATAGTGATTGGACAATCATATGTAGTGCTCCCACGCACGGACCTCTTTATGGCAGGCTTCCCCATTCTAGCGGACTTTCAATTTTGCTTCCTTTTAGTATATAAGGACTCCTCTCGCATCCCCACTCTGCGTGCTCTTTCCCTTCGCACTCAGACTAACACCGTGTGTATTAGATCGTGCCCGCGTGCCACTCGCCAGTTTGCGCTCGCGCAGCCCAGTAGTCGTATCACGACAATAAAGAGCACACTATATAGGTAACTACCTAATACACACGGTGGTTAGCTATACAGGCGGTGGTAAGCATGTGGCATATTGCGCAAGGGCGACGAAGGGACTTACTCTGAGTGCGAAGGGAAAGAGCACGCAGAGTGGGGACGCGAGAGGAGTCTTTATATACTAAAAGGAAGCAAAATTGAAAGTCCGCTAGAATGGGGAAGCCTGCCATAAAGAGATCCGTGCGTGGGAACACTACATATGATTGTCCAATCACTATCTACGTATTAGCAGCGCCTAATCTAAGATGTCCACCTTAAGTCCATGCCGGGCGGAACGCCGAGCCAGAGCCACTAGGCGCTTCAACAGTAACACATACTGCTGCTGTCTTGAACCCAGTACCGACGCCTGCGGGAAAGGTCCAAACTCCCTCCGCGTGCTAGAAGCGCTCGACATCCTCAAAGACATCCGAGCTCAAACTGAGGAAGCCTCCAACAGCGTCTCAAACGAACCCCGCGACTTCAAGCGTACAAGCGAGTGGATCAAATTTATCTCAGGATTCGACGAGAGCAAAGTGCTCCTCGACGTACGCCTTATCTCATGCAGTCCTGCGCATATTTGAAATTTTGATTGTGCTTGCGGTACCAGCTGACCGACCCGGTCGATCCTGGGGTGCACCGTGTTGCCTTTCTCGCCGCCCTTGTCCAACGCATTCCTAAGGAGCGTACCCATTTCCATAAGCAATGTGTCCGCGTCACTTCCCCTGCCACTTCCAAAGGGCCTGTCATCATGCATTTCAATGACGGTACCACCGCTGAGGCAGACGTGGTTCTTGGCGCGGATGGTATTAAGAGCATCGTGCACCGGTTCCTGACGGACTCGTATGACACGGACGTGGATCCGTACTTGAAGTTTAGCAACATAGTCGCCTATCGCACCGTGGCCCAGGCGTCAAAGGCTGCGGCAGCAGGTGTGACAATGGATTTCAGCGAACGGCCATTTTGCTTTGTCGCTGAGAAGAAACATATCATCGTGTACACGATTCGAGGCGGTAGTTTAGTGAGTAGTAGCTCATCCTCACCGATGTCGCATTACTTCTGAACTCATGATTCAGATCAATATTGTTGCCTCTGCCGAGTCGTCCACCCCGCACGATGCGGAGTTTACACCAGCGTCGACCGAGATCTCTCAGGAGGTCAACATTGAAGAGCTTCTAGAGGCTTACAAAGGGTGGTCTCCCGAGGTTTTGAAGCTCCTTTCTTGCGCGACAACGCCTATCCGGAAGTGGAACAACAACGTCGTGTATCCGCACTTGTCTGTAAATGATTGGGCTAGAGGCAGAGTGGCCGTTCTTGGTGACGCGGTAGGTTACACGGATGATGCTTAATGCAACTGGCAAGACTCATCGCTATGATAACAGGCACATGCAATGCTACCTCACCTTGATGCAGGGGCAGGTCAAGGTTTCAAAGATGCGTATCTCTTGGGCAAGCTCCTTGGAAACCCGAAGACCAACATTGAGAACGTCGAGGTCAGACCCTATCGTGCTAGCTACAGTGCTCGTAACTGAAAGTCGCGTATTGTTAGAACGTCCTTCGCGTCTATGCTGCCGTTCGCCAGCCTCGGGCGCAGAAGATCTGGGACGATAGCAAGTGCGCCTGTGACATGTATGAGGCTCCAGTGCACGATGGCCTGGACGGAGAAAAGATGCGCGCGCTCTGGAATAACGTCTGGAATCATGGCGTAGATGACGACATGAACCAGGCCATAGAAATGTTGGTAAGGGATGGAGCCTTCCGAGTCGCAGAGGAGGACAATCTTGTTTGATTCAACCATGCGATCTGAACACTTGTAGTAACGATGTACTAGTACGCATGCGGCCCTCCAGGAATTCATGCTCGATTATCGTCAGCTTGTTGCTGTAATGAGACGCTTCTCAAGATCACGTGGGTGATAGCATTCGCTGGAGGCCACAATGAATGCTACAATAGAACTTATATCTCATAATGCATAAAAATGAAAAATCATAAGGAAATTGTGAGTTTTGTTATCCCTTCCAAAAATCCGGTAGTCTTATACTTATCAACGCCTAGAATGCATCCCGCGTGCTCCCAGGTGTACTTGAGCGAAAAGTGAGACAGCGGAAGGAATGCCGAACACTAAGCACCCTATGCATTGTCCAGAACCCAGTGGTCCTATCACTACGGGCATCCCCAGATTTCAGGGGGCCCGAAATGTCCCAGACAAGGCATCCAAAATGTAACATTTTGGGAGACTTTCCAGCAACTTTCCCGAGTGCTGAAATGCTCACTTTTCTGTCACTTTTGAGGCAATTTCTCTTGTCGGAAAAGGCTGTCTGTCACGCGCTTTGAAATAAACCTGAAACATCCCAGTTAGGCAGGCTGTACTGGTCATATGAGTGTCCCAGAAATTGCCGGGAAAGCCATCATTACTGATGGCTTTGTAATACATTTCAGGACATCAGGAACAAGCGCTTTCAGAGATTCGGAAATTTAACAGACCAAAAAACTGATGATAGTCCTGAAATACTCTTAAAATGTCTCGAGCAGGTATAATTAAGGGGCTCATAAAATGTATGTAACAAATTACCTTTTATGGTTGCTGAAACTATAGCTGCCATGTCCATTTCAGGCCCATTTCAGGCCCATTTCCTATCTGCCGAAAGGTAAAATATCCTTGTATGTGAAATTGT